ACAAATGGGCTTTGGGGATTCAGGGAAAAGAGTGAGATGGGGGGTGAGGGATAAAAGACTACACATTGGGTAGAGTATACAATGCTTGGGTAATGGGTGCACCAAAATCTCAGAAATACTAAAGAACTTTTCCATGTGACTAAACACCTCCTATTCTCCCAATGCTACTGAAGTAAAAATAAAATTATTAAGAAAGCTGTTTTATATCTTACAATGATTTTCTTCTTCTGTTTTGTTTGTTTTCATAATGAGGTGAGAATCGATATGAAGGACAGCTGGAGTGATACCATTAAAAGATATACTAATTGATGTCTTTAAAAAAAAAAAAACTAGATTGAAAGTAGCCAAGTTTCTCACCCTACGGAGATCACAAATTAGTAGAATTATCTGCAAGGACATTTGATACTTAGGTTGATACTTAAGAGACTTGAAGCTATGGTGCCAGAGCCTGAACTTTCTTATAAAAAAAAAATCTGGCTCATGGAAAGTGCATAATTAGCTTACTAGAGTGTGGTCTGCTGGTTCTGAACAAAATCAATGCTATATTAACTACTAATTTAAAATATTTGGACTGGGCACAGTGGCTCATGCCTGTAATTTCAGCACTTTGGGAGGTCGAGGCAGGTGGATCACCTGAGGTCAGGAGTTGGAGACCAACCTGGCCAACATGGTTAAACCCCATCTCTACTAAAAATACAAAAATTAGCTGGACATGGTGGTGGGCACCTGTAATCCCAGCTACTCAAGAGGTGGAGGCACAAGAATCACTTGAACCTGGGAGGCAGAGGTTGCAGTGAGCCAAGATTTTCTAGGAAAAAATTCCTAGAAATTTTCTCTAGGAATAATTCACCTGCACTATAGTCTGGGAAGTAAAAGTGAAACTCTGTCTCAAAAAAAAAAAAATATATATATATATATATATATAAAGGTTATCAAAAATTATATACAATTGTGTCTAGATGTTTTGACTTTGTTTCACCCCAATTTTTTATGATTTTAAAGATAAGTTTTTTTAAAAGGTAATTATTTTTAGGAGAAATTTATTTTGGAGGGCAAAAATATTTTTTACTGTACTTGTCTGTTTTCTTCACTTCGTGAAGTTCAGCTCTTTACATGACAAGTTTAGCCTCATTGCAGTACAATGTTTCACCAAAAAATAAATTGCCTTTGGAGAGTAAGGTTCTACCCAGTGCTGTGATAGGAGATCATAACTTGCCGTGTTAGGTTTAAAACTCAGACTCGCTATAAAGTGGATCCAAAAAGCAGTTTGTAGCACACTATTCATTGTCCTTAGAGTTCTTTGGCTGGGAGTTATAAACAATGGTTAGAGAAAACACCTGACCCTTGCCAGTATGTGTCCCTGGCCTACACAGGGTGGGAGCATTGATTGCACTAGAGTCAACAGGATGAGTACCCACAGATACACAGTAGCTGTTGTAGCAGAAGAAATGAGAAATGCAACAGGTCTGCAGGTTAGAATGGTGGTTCTTGTTCTCTCTTCTTGTTGAATGGTCAGTAACACATTCTTTACTAATAATATAATGGGTAGCAGGGTAAAACTCAAAGTTAACTTGGAAATCAGCTATTGTGATTCATTTACATTTTAGAGGTAAAAAACCAAGATCCAGAAAATGTAAAAGACTCTCCCAATATGTTTCTGTATTTATGTTTAAATGTCAGTGTGGGGCTTGATAGCATTTCAGACCAGATAAGATTCACCGATGTGAAAACCTGAGTGGAGAAGGACTAATGCATGTTGAATATGCATATTCAATATTTGTGCATTCAGCTCCTTGGCTGGAATAGTTCCCAGAGTCAAAAATAGGCAGTAGCAGCCCTCCTGCAATGGCAGCATAATCCGAGTTCCCCTTTACAAGTGAAAGTTCACTGTCAGGGCTGTTGGGCTTAAAGACAACTTCTGTGGGGTACAGATTGCCCCAGAGAATGAAAGCTAACCTGACAGAGTGAATGTCAGAGTGAATGATAGTAAATGATAGTAACCAGCCATGCATGTTTCTTAATTTTTTTAATTAAAACTTAAAAGAAAAATTTTCTAGGATTAATTTACCTGTAGATTAAAAAAAAACGTTTTGGCTGCAGAAACAGTTCTGTAAAGGGTGCATCTTGCTGAATTTCTGTGTAGAGAGCTAGAATGCACACCCTCATCTCAGCATACAGGCTCTTTATCTCACATAGGGGTCACTTCAAAAAGTTTGTCAGAAAATGGTGAAAAGTGATGAAAAAATGATAACTTCATTTCTTAACATAAGCTGCATCGAGGTCAAGATAACACCAGCCTGTTAGTCTATCCCTAGAGAACTGAGGATCATGGGAACTTAACCATGTCAATGCAGTCTTTTTTACATTATTAACTGAAAAAAAGTAAATGTTCCTTATAGAGATTTTAAGATAAGGAAACAAAAAAGTCAGAAGGAACCAAGTTAGTACTGCAAGGTAGATGCCTGACGATTTTCTATTAAAAGTCTCACAAAATGGTCCTTGTTTGATAAGAAGAATGAACATGAGCATTTTTGTGGAAGAGAAGGATTCTCTGGTGAAGGTTTCCTGGGAATTTTTCTGTTACAGCTGTGGCTAACTTTCTCAAAACAATCTCATATTAAACACATGTTATTTTTCTTTGGCTCTCCAGAAAGTCAACAGGCAAAATGCCTTGAGCATCAAAAAAAAAAAAAAACCCATTGCCATGACCCGTACTCTTTACCAATTTGCTTTTGCTTAGACTATACCATTTTCACCTCTTGGTAGCCATTGCTTTGATTGTGCCTTTTCTTCAGGATTGTACTGGCAAAGCCATGTTTTATCTCTCTTATAATCCTTTGAAGAATCAGTTCAGGATTTCAATCCCACTTGTTTATAATTTCCATTGAAAGCTGTATTTTTGTCTGCATCTGATACGGGTGCAAGGGTGTTGTCACCCATCGAGTGGAAACTTGGCTCAACTTCATTTTTCAGTCAGAATCGCATAAGCTGAACTCACTGAGATGTCTGTGGTGTTGGCTATTGTTTCTGTTGTTGCCAGTCCTCTTCAATTAGGCCATGAGCAAGATTATTTTTTTTTTTCCTCAAAAACCGATATGGATGGTCTGCCACTGTGGGCTTCATCTTCAACATTGTCTTGTCCCTTCTTAAAGTGAGTTATCCACTTGTACACTGTTAATTTCTTTAGAACATTGTCCCCACAAACTTTTATAAAGCTCAGTGTTTTTGCTATTCTTCCACCCAAGCTTTACCACAAATTTGATGTTTGTTCTTGCTTCAGTTTTAGCAGAATTAATGTTGCTCAGATAGAAGCTCTTTTCAAACTGAAGTCTCAGTCTTTTTAGTATCTCAGACTAGATCCTATTTGGACATGTTATGACAAGTTAGTGAAAGTTTATTTTGGTATTAAAAATTGTGAGATTCATGCATAATTTTTTATCATATGCATTTTCCATGAACTTTTTGAAGATTCCTCATATTCTATGTAACACAGTTTCCACAGGGAAGAGAAAATCGTAATTGGAGCATGATAAGAGTTAAGGGCTAGTATGGGATGAGGTCAGTGAAACATCCACAGTATTCATTCCTGTATGATAAATCCAGAGAGTCCCATGAGGATAGCCTCTTTCCAGAGCTCACTTTTTTCTTTTCTTTTCTTTTTTTTTTTTTTTTGAGATGGAGTCTCATTCTCCTGGGTTCAAGCTATGCCTCAGCCTCCCGAGTAGCTGGGATTGCATGCACCCACCACCATGCACAGCTAATTTTTTTGTATTTTTAGTAGAAACAGGGTTTTACCATGTTGGCCAGGCTGGTCTCAAACTCTCCACCTCAAGTGATCCACCTGCCTCAGCCTCCCAAAGTGCTAGGATTACAGTTGTGAGCCACCGCACCCGGCCCCAGAGCTCACTTTGATAATCAACACTGAATATGACATTTGCAGCCTGCATAGACAGAGAATCTTGTTTATTTGCATTTCAACCCCCACCCAGAGAATGATATGGTATCCTCATCCCCAAGGTCTTCCTCAAGCAGCCTTCAGCATTAATCAAAGAACTCTTTCTTTGAAAACACTCCTAGCACCTAGAGCACTTGTGTTCAAAATCAAGAAAGGCCACTCTGGACAACAGGCCTGAGCTCTATTTCTCCATAGATGATAGGACTCTCACTTCCCCTTTTCTTCTGTTGTTAATTGAGCAAACAAATAACACCCTTAGCACTCAGGAAAATTGCCTGGATCCAGTTAATTACCCATTTTCACTAATCTAAGGTAATAAAAATATAAAATATACTACTATTCTCCACTCCAGGGCTATTTTATGGCTGAGAAAGCCTTTCTTTTTCACAGCAGTGGACAGAACTAATACAAGCCTACTCATTGTGCACAGATAAGTTTCCCTTTCTCAGTTCATGACCTCAAGCTGACTGGGATCAGCTGCTCCCTGGAAACCTACATGTGTCTCTCAGTGCCAGGACATGTACCAGGACACCTCCTAGTCCCTGCTGCAACCTTCCCGACTAGATACTTGTCAACCCTCCTCACCATCTGTCCTGGTTCCCACCCTGCACTGTCAGACCCACATACTCACTGACACACCCTGCTCCCAGCAGGTCTAGATCTCAAGGAACATAATTGTGACTTTTTTCTCCCTTGTTACCCTTAACTTTCATTTCTATGTACAAAACTCCCTCTGAAGTACCGGGTCTTTTGTAGCAGAGATACAGCTCTACTTGATTTGAGCAGTATCATGATCTTCTGACATGGAATATTAAAGTTAATAGTGTTGTTTTATGCATCTCAAACACAGACTGTCATTTCTCTCATAAGTATTAAAATAGACATAAGTATTTATAGCTTCATACTGTAGTTTGGGGAGAGAAAATTGGTTGTAAAACTGTTCAGAAACTTTTTTTGATGAATTCATTTCTTCCGCATTGCTTGATATTAAAATACAAATGTTGACTGTAAGCTCCAACTTAACACAATTTTCACTTTTTTGCAGCACCTGAAATTCTTAGAGGTTGTGCCTATGGACCTGAGGTGGACATGTGGTCTGTAGGAATAATCACCTACATCTTGTAAGTGAAGAAAAGCAATTTTTATGTAAACTATTTACCTTTCTGTGACATTTTCTAGGTGTCTCTAATTCTCATAAAAACTGTAAAGATTACTTTTTGCCTTTTCGTGATTTTCTATTAAATATAAAATGCATTTAGTGATAGAATTTCCTGAAAATGAACATTGCTTTTTATTTTGTAATTTTCTTGAGACCAGAATTCTTGTCCAGGGTTTTTCCATGTCTTTATCTGCTATGCAATGTGCAGCAGATTTAGGGAACAATTCATTACTTGCCAGTGGTAATGACTGTGAGCCCCAAACCACCTGTGTAAACTTGCTCTTATTTTACTTATTTGCATCTCATCTAAAATAATTAGACTTAGTCCTTTTAAAAGGGCAACTGGCTATTTAATTTCTTAAGCAATTCCAAACTGGTATATTTCTTATCAGGAATATTTTAAATGTGTTTTAGCTATCAATTTTGTTTACTATTTCTGTTAGGTTTTCCAGGGTCTTAAATTTAACACCCTACACAAACTTCATGGGGGAAAAAAATGAGCAAAATATTTCAATCTGTGGTATCCCTAACTCCATTCCTGAGCTCCTTTCTAATAAGAAATAAGGAGTTTCAGGGAGTTTGCCAAAGAAATGGTGAAACTGCAAGTGGCGATGAAGAAAATCAACCAATTAGAAGAGCATATGAGAAGGAAGATTACTGTAGAACAACCAAAAAATAAGATATTGATGTGTTCAAGAGTTTAATTCAAAACAAGGAGACGTTGTTGCCATTTAGAGTGCTACAAAGTTAGTTGTTGGAATGCATAATATTCAAATTTATAGAGAAATTTCAAAGGGTTTGAAAGTAAGTATATTAGTCTACCTGGGCTGCCTTAACGAAATATATAGACTGAGTGGCTTAAATAACAGAAAATTATTTTCTCACAGTTTTGAGGGCTGGAAGCCCAAGATCAGAGTTTCAGCACAGTCAACTTCTGCTGAGGGCCCTCTCCTGACTTGCAGGTGGCCACCCTTTCACGGTGCCCTGACATGGTGGGGAGAAAGAGAGAGCAAGCTCTGTGGAGTCTCTTCTTATGAGGGGACTAATCCCATGAGGAAGGCCCCACTCTCATGACCTCTTCTAAACCTGATTGCCTCCCAAGGGCTTCATCTCCAGATGCTATCACATTGGGAGCTAGGGCTTCAACATATGGATTTGGGGGTGGGAGGGGGAATACAATTCAGTCCGTAGCAGAAAGCTTTTTATTAAATTTGTTTTTAACTTAATAGTGATCTTAAAAAATTCAGTGTCCAGGTGACATAGACTAGGAATGGGCTAACTGTGGGGGGGCCAACCCCACCCACCCGCCTGCCCAGAAGCACGTTAGCAGACTCTAAGCTCACCTGATACACGTTGGCTGACAGCCAAGATAAAAAGGTTAAACAAGCACCTGATAAAATAGCCACTTACTAATATGTAATACAAAAAGATATTTTCAGTGTTCAATTCCTTGTGTCTTTAGAAAAGCTTGAGAGAAATTTGGAGAGGTAAAGAATCCTGTAGTTGTCCCCAAAATTTAGGTTTGCTCGTAAACTATAAATATACCCAATTTATGTACCTATATACTGACAATTGTACACTGTTGAAATGTACTGGGAGGCATTAAGTATTAATGATATAAACTAACTTGGAGAGATGGAAGTAGAAAATTAAGTTACATTTACCCAGAAAAATTAGAACATATGGAATGCATAAAACTTCATGGTATCACTGACATGGGAAAAATGAAGGGAAAAATGTAATTATTTGAGAAATATGTTAGTGTAACCCTGAAGATAGTTCTAAAAATCTGTACTATCCCCTAGTTCATTACCAAATTATGCAAACTATTTTATATATTTCTTTCATCTTTATACACTTAAGGTAATTAACTAGTAGGTTTAGTTGAAAGTAAGAGTGGTAGCCTTCAAAGTGAAAATAACAGTACTGCTTACAACTAATATTCTTAAGTTCTCAACTAACTTCTGTCAGCCCCTAAGCCTGAGGATGTTTTATTTACTCTGTAGTTCATTAATAGTTGGTGAAGTCCACTGGCAAGGTCAACTGACACATTTTCTCTAGTGGGTTGGGTCACTGGATCCCTGGATCTCCTTTATTAGATTGGTTTAATGTACACTCAGTGGCCTGCTGGGCACCTGAGACTATGACCTCTAACATGTCACTCATTTTACCAGAGGGGGTTGGAGACAGACAGAGCAGAGTACAGAAGTAACCAAATGAAGAATTAGAACTAAGGATACATTTTGTTAATGCTTCCTGGGAAAGTAAATCTTACAATGAAGCTACATTATAAGCTTCAGTCAGATGCTTTCTTCTGTCTTCCAAATGTTGAGGTATTTGTTTTACCGATACTGGTCTGTATGTACGTAAACTCTGGGGCTCATTTTTCAATAAAGCCATGAATAGACGTTTGATTCTTCGTATCCATATAAAGAACTCTGTTTACTCTTGCCGCTCTTCTTGTGGCTACTCTTGCATTTTAACTTCACTCTTCTTAAGAGTTCTAGCTTATTACCACCAGGCTGTTGGTATGGCCTTGCTGTTTCTAAGAATGACATTAGGCTGAAAATGAAGGCCGTTCTAATTTTTCTCACAGGAATTCTGGTATCTTTACTCTTATACCTAAACCCTCTGCCGCTACAGACAAAAGCTGCAGGACTGGGCCTTGTGATCTCATCAGAAATCAGATAGCATCAGAGATTCAAATTCTCGCCTTCAGCTTTCAACACTACAGTTCTGCCCTAAGGCTTTAAATTGACGCCTTTTACCTCCTGTCACCCAAGCACAAAGTCACGAATCATACTGAAATCAAAGAAAAGGCAGTTGAGCACTATAACTCGAGTGGTCATTTTTGTCTCTACATTTTCAGAAGGGGAAATATAAGTGACCTCCTAAACTAAGTCTAGAAAGCTGGCTCATTTCTCCATGACTAACTGCAACAGGCCACAGGTTTCTAGTGTCGTGGAGAGCAGGGCAGGGCAGGCAAGGCAGGCAAGGCCAGACTCTCTCCTTGTCAAGGTGAGCACATGTGCCCCGTCTCACCTTGGGCTGCTCTTCCACAGGCAGGTCGGGAGTGGGATCCTCTGAGCAGATTGCTCAGTAGGGAAGGGGAGAATGCTTACATTTTTCTCGCTGGCTACAGAATATCTGGAAGAGACAAACGATTCTCCCAGTGGGACATTCTACGAACAAAAGCACATAAGAAACTGCTTCTTTCTAAAAACTCATCATATTAGGATGCACTTTAATTTTTCATGCTATGTACCAACCTGGCCAGCTTGAGGGAAGCCTTCGGGAAAATGTCTTTTATTCATCCTCCCTCTCACCCTCATTTTTTTTTTCAAATGGAACACAAGCAACACACGCCCTGGCATGGGATTTTTTAAGCAGTTCCCTCTTTCTCAGTCCCTACCGATTTTAGAACTTCCACCCATCTATAAACAGTGGAGGCTCGCTTTTCCTTTCTCTCTTGTTAAGATGCCAAAGATAGTTCTCTGTCCCTTTTATCTCACATTTCCCATTCATTTTTAAGCTGACTCAGTAGAAGAAAATGATTCAAAGAATGAGGTAAATTGAGACTGCTCATTTCTTCGACTGCATCTGGTGACTGTATTAATATTATACATCTTGTAAGGCCATTCCCTGACAATAGTTTCAGTTCCTGTCTTTGTTCTTTCTGAAGTCCAAACTGGAATGGAATGGAAATACCATAAAGCTTTATTCATTTCTATGGAAGATTTCATAGAATAGGGCAGAATAAAAATAAGTGAAAAATTTCTTCTTTCCACTTTTTAATTTCTTTACTCTCAAAAATCCCAGCTCTTCCCTTTTATACTAAATTGGAAGTCTAATCAATCTCTGTCTGCATGTCTTTCTGTCTTTTCAGTACCTGTCAAAAGATCCATGGAGAGGCTTTAACATAATGTCTATAATGTTAGCTATTATTATTCTTGTTCTTCTGTGTAATAATTATTATTATAGCTTTTTGTAGAAATCCTAAGTTGGTTTTATATTAATTCCTACTTCCTGAGGCCTTGATTGTGTGTTTACACTATCAGTAGTGAATTGTAATAAGGCAGTTACATACTTGTGCTGAGTAGATGTACTTCCATAGCAGAAGCTGTAGAAAAGAACAGTCTTGAATTCCTACAGAAATTTGATGAAATATACTTGAGCTTTTAAAGACATTTTATTCTCTATATTTTGTTCCTCTAGACTTTGTGGATTTGAACCATTCTATGATGAACGAGGCGATCAGTTCATGTTCAGGAGAATTCTGAATTGTGAATATTACTTTATCTCCCCCTGGTGGGATGAAGTATCTCTGAATGCCAAGGACTTGGTAAGTGTAACCAAACCAAAATGAAACAAAGTGAAATAAATTGATTTTTAACTAATCAATGGGCAGTACAATTTTTTTAAATTTTGTTCTTGTCCTTTTGATTTTAAAGTATTTTTAATAAAATGAGTTCATTAATATATTTTCTTTAGGGAATAAAAACTAGATATGTTTTTGGCTCATCATTAGCTGAATTATCATAAACTGCAATCACTGTAGGATTAATGAGCTTTTACTACCTAATCAGTATAAAAAACCTTGCTTATGAAGAAAGCTGTGCTGAGTTAATTCTAACACAATTTACACAGAAGAATTCTGTTTTAACATGGCTTCCAAGTGCCTAGAATTTAGATATACCTCATTTCTTTTTTTTTATTTTTTTATTTTTTGAGACGGGATCTCACTTTGTCACCCAGGCTGGAGCGCAGTAGCATGATCATGGCTCACTGTAGCTTCCAACTCCTGTGCTTAAGCAATCCTCCCACCTTAACTTCCTGAGTAGCTGGGACAGAGGTGCATGCCACCATACCCAGCTAATTTAAAAAATTGTTTTGTAAATATGGGGTATTGTTATGTTGCCCAGCCTGGTCTCAAACTCCTGCCCTCAGACAGTCCTCCCACTTTGGCCTCCCAAAGAGCTGGGATTACACCTGTGAGCCACCGCATCCAGCCTAGATATACTTCAGCTAAAACAATATTGCTTCCTGAAATTTCATTCAAAGTTATTAAAATATCCTGGTAGTAACATAAGTCCCATTATGTATTATTGGCATTATAAAAATGTTCCACTGTGTTAATAGTTCATTTTGTTTGTTTTTATATTTCTTCTCACTTAAGTTAATATTGACATTTGTTTGCATTTAGGAAATGCATACCTTCTGGGGAGGTCATTCACCTCTTATAAAATCAAGAGGATGCTAGCATGAGATTGAAACAGTTATCATCGATCCACTGGAGAAAAATCACACAGACATAATTAAAAGCTGACTTTTGAATCATAGAAGGTTAGATGTCCACGAGGTCTTAGGAGGCATCTAGTCCTCCTCTCATTTTAAAGATGAGAATGCTAAAGGCCAGAGGGTGAAATGACTGCCAAGGTCACATAGCTTCCCAGCTCTGTATTATTAGAGCTGATCCAGTTGTCCAGGCTCCCTTTCCAGTGCTCTTTTTTCTTCAAGCATTTCTTCCTTATCCTCTGTGTTCCTTCATGGAACAGATAAGGCTTTTGTCTTTTCCAATATGACCGGGAAAAGAAGGTCAGTGTGTGTGATGGGTGATACGAAGATATGTCATTGGAACTCCTTCCTCAAGTCATACCCCATGCTCTCAAACATCCCTTGAATCCATTCAGTTCTCTCCCCCTAGACTGCTGCTCCAACCTCCTATGTGGACTCCTTTCCTCTTCTCATGACTTTCTCAAATAGTCTGCACAGGATCCAGAGGGATGGTCTTATAAATAAATTACATCATGCCCTTCTCCTGCTTTAAGAATCTTAGGATAAAATCCAAAACCCATAACAAGATCTACAGGCCACTGCCTGGTCTGGAGCCTGCCACTCTCTCCTTTGATCACTTTTCACTCTAGTGTAGCACACTTGCACTTTCTCATCAGCATAGCTCAGAATGTTGCCATGACTCTTTCTTCTGCTCTGTAATGTTCTCTCTTTCTTCTTCCCCACCTTTTCCTCCATTACACACACACACACACACACACACACACACACACACATACACACACACACCTGGGTAACTCTCATTCTCAAGCTCCAGCTGCTGCTAGACATCCCTTGGGAAGCTTGGTCTGCCTTCCCCTTCAGTCCCTCTCTCCTACAGTTGGTTCCTTCTGCCAAAATCTTCCTTTACCTCCTGCACCCCCCAGTTCATAATAGTCATCATGTATTTGTTTAATGGTCCTCCCTAATTAGATTTTGAGCTCTGTGACAGAACACAACATGTATACCCAGACCTTAGAACCACACGGGCATACAGTACAGGCTCAATAAATGTTTATTGGATGAAACAATGGATCCAGAAAAACACTATGAAGTTTTAGTCTGACACACCTGGATTTAAATGCCCCCTTTGTCATGTCCTGGAAGTGTAACCTTGGGCTTATGACCCAACCCCTGCATGCTTTAGTTTTCTCATCTAGGATGATAATTGTACCTATCTCTAGGTTGTTGTGAGAATTAAGGAACATAATATATGTTAAGTAACTAGTATCAACTAACTTAAAATAGTTCTCTTATTTAGCCTCCTTCTATTTCTTTTCACCATTAATAAACATGAAGTGATTAAGAGGGTTAGCTTTGATATTCCTTCATTCAGCTAGATCCCATGTAAGTTTATCACTGCTTAAAACTTCAGAACTGGAAGAACGTTTCAGCTCCATAAATGCATCTTACTAGCAAAACCCACATCTGTTGTGTCATTGACACTCTAAACGCTGAGGAGTTGGGGAACTGGATGTAAGAGGTACTGCAGGGTAATGGTGAGGCTTTGAGTGTGATTCTAACCTTCAGAAAGTTCCCTAACAATTCAGTTAGGATTGTTACTAGTATCTTCAAATGTAAACATTAACAATGGTGTATATAAATTTTTGGTGTACATTGACTTTCAATAAATTCTTTGCATTTTCATGAGGAAGATTGTAATGATGCGGGAGAGGAGCAATGTGTTTGAAAAATAAGAGGAAAATACCTAATTGTCAAAAATGTTGTAAGGATTAGATCTCATTTACATAAAATTATTGGTAGACATGTTCAAGGGATGATAGCGCTGAGTACTATCAGATTTTTATTTACCACCATGCTTGCTTTCTCTTAGCCATCCTGCCTTCCTCCATGTCCTCTCCAATTTTAAGCCTAAATAGCCTCATGTCTCTGCCTTCTGCAAATCTAGCCAAAACACAAATTCTTTTGCAGAAAGGAAGTGTTGAGAGAACCAGATAGTATTTATTCCTCATTTGATTTGCTACCTAATTTCCTTCGCCTGTGTTCACATCTCCTTAGGTAATTAGAGTTAGAAAAGACCTGAGACCTACAATCATTCAAAGCTTCTTATTTTACACATGAGCAGGCTGAAGTACAGAGAGATTGACCACCTTGGAGACGTCACGGCATAGTGGCCACAAGATACGCTCTGATATACACAGACCTGAGTTTAAATACAGGCTCCGTCAATTCCAAATTGATTGACCTTAGGCAAGTCACTAAATGAGCGTCCCCGCTTCCCACATTTTTGAACTGGCACTATTAGTTCCAAATGAGAAGGCTACTAAAAGGATTACATGAGTTTTTAAAACGTTTTATATTCATCTAAGAAGCATTTACAAAGGAATTAAAGTGGAAATAAGACTTGTAAGGAAAGGGCCTGAGGAGGTATCCATAGGCAGTTCATATATTATGTCTGCGTCTAGGGTCACAAAAGTAGTGAGCAGCATAAACCAGGGCTTGAACACACTTCCTGAATCCCAGTAGTTCTCTACCTCATATCAGGTCACCCCTACCAAGTCCAGAACTGTGGATTATTTTATTTTTTGACCTTCCTGGGAATTTATTGACTGCCCATCCTCACAAGCAGTAGTAATCCTCCAAGAATGGGCTGCCAATGATTGGATTCCATTCTTTACACAAATTATGCCCTCAAACCACTGACTTCTTTGATTATAAAATGATTTTTAAACTCTGGGCTTAGTCCTTCATGTACCCTCAAGGGGTTAGAAAGAACTATGAACCCCAAGATAGAAACATCAGGTAGTATTCCATAAGTGCTGGGATACTCTCCCTTTTGTTTGTCATTGAATTGCCAAGAAAGAATGATGATGTGTGAATGATTTCATTCTGTTACCACAGAAATGTATTTTAAGTTCTGAATTCTAGGTGGTTGTGAATTGCAGCCCAGAATTATTTTGCTGGTTCTGCCTTCAAAGAACTTCCAGCCCACAGGCAAGTGGGGAGCTGTTTCTTGACTTCTGTTGGACAGCTGCCTGTCAATTTGGGGGTCTCAGGTGGTACATGCCCCCATCTTTTCACACTCCCTCAGCTACTGCTACCTGAAGCCATTCCTATCCACGGTGACCCCTGAGAACTTAAACAATTTTTTCCAACATATATTTAGTGGAACAGCTGGGAAATAGAGTAAGACTGGGAAGTTTGTAAGCTGAGGGCAAGCCCAGGTCACCACAAAAACCTGCCTTAAGTTTATGGTTCTTTATTATTTCAGGTCAGAAAATTAATTGTTTTGGATCCAAAGAAACGGCTGACTACCTTTCAAGCTCTCCAGCATCCATGGGTCACAGGTAAAGCAGCCAATTTTGTACACATGGATACTGCTCAAAAGAAGCTCCAAGAATTCAATGCTCGGCGTAAGCTTAAGGTAAGATGGCATATGTTTTGTTTTGGTTTTTTAAAAAAAGTATCTCTTATCTTGATCTATCAATAATAGTTCTACCGTTCTTCATCTAATACTGTTATTTATTTTTGAAAGCACCAGGGAAAATCCTGCTTTGAAATTCCAATAATGCTGACACAAAGCTACTTACAGTTTTCTTATCCTCTCATAAGGAATTCATTATTAATAAACGGAAATTTGTTATAAGTTGATATTTACATACCAAATATATTAATGCTGCTTCCCATCTAACTAAAGTGTACTGCTTAAATGGCATTGTTCAGGAAAAACTGATATTTATTTAGAAAGCTGTTTTCTTTTGGAATGTGAAAAACTTGGGAGACAAATTTTGAAACTGTATTTACTAACACAGATAAATGATTACTTGACAAAAAAGTAAAAATTTAAGTGCTATAGTAAATTAACAAAATATGTCATTTTATACAGTACCTATGGAATAGAGATTAGGAGCTTTTCTATTACATAACTCTGTTTAGGACTGGCTCTTTAAGTAGATGAGCTCAGAGAACAGCTGGGCGACAGAATTAGGGTCCTATGCAGCCATTGCTCACAGGCTGATACAGACTAACTAAATATGAAGACTCCATGGTCAAATTCAGGCATCCCCAAACAGTTCACTGTCCCTCAGACCATTGGAGGGCCGTCACATACTGTGCTCCTCTCACTGACCACCAATGAAAGAGGTGCCCCTTCCTGAAGTGCGGCGGGGGGCCGGATAAATGGCCTCAGGGGGCCGCAGTTTGGGGACGCCTGGCAAATTAATTATAAATACCTCAAATTACATAATATTGACTTAACCTAGGATTTCTCAAGCTAGCTTGATCATGGAACTCTTGTATCCCCATGATGACATCCATATGGTAAAAGCTAGTAATATCCACAGAACTAGTGTTCCATAAAACAAATATATTGGGAAACAGTTTAAAATTTTCAAAAACTGGTTAGTCATGGGTAAACACATTTACTCAGGCTCTCAGTTGTCTAGATGATTAAATACACTAATTTGTATTTAATTTGAGATTAAAGAGGTTGTACTGTTCATTTTCCAAATTTTCTTTTGACAAACAATCTAGGAATAAGATACTTTGAAAGCTTTAACACTAACCTATGAAACAGAATCTCTAAAAGCACAGTTGGGATTGAGCTCTGATGCGGTGTGTTAAAGCAGAGGTAACACTTGACACTCTTCTGTTTCCAATCAGGCAGCGGTGAAGGCTGTGGTAGCCTCTTCCCGGCTGGGAAGTGCCAGCAGCAGCCATGGCAGTATCCAGGAGAGCCACAAGGCTAGCCAAGACCCTTCTCCAATTCAAGATGGTAACGAGGACATCAAAGCTATTCCAGAAGGAGAGAAAATTCAAGGAGATGGGGCTCGAGCCCCAGTTATGGGGGCAGAGGCTGAGCTGATGAAGTTGCAGGCTTTAGAGAAAGTTAAAGATGCAGATATGAATGCTGAAGAGGCCCCCAGGATGGTGCCCAAGGCAGTGAAGGATGGGATAAAGATGGCTGACCCTCAAACAGAGGAGGGCCTGGCAGAGGAGAAGCTGAAGACTGTGGAGGAAGCAGCAGCCCCCAGAGAAGAGCAAGGAAGCTCTGCTGTGGGATTTGAAGTTCCACAGCAAGATGTGATCCTGCCAGAGTACTAAACCGGCTTCCTTCAAATCTGGAAGCCAAATACCGGCATTTTATGTACTTTGTCCTTCAGCAAGGAAGGTGTGGAAGCATGATATGTACTATAGTGATTCTGTTTTTGAGGTGCAAAACAAATACATATATACCAGTTGGTAATTCTAACTTCAATGCATGTGACTGCTTTATGAAAATAATAGTGTCTTCTATGGCATGTAATGGATACCTAATCCCGATGAGTTAAATTTTGCAAGTAAACAAAACATGACACTTAAAAACATACATTTTCAGCAACCAGTGGCACATATTTGAAGTGAATAGTAGCAAACTGTTTTTGGTTTGAAAACCCAGCCATCCTACATCCTTTGGATTTCTTCACAAGGTAGTAATTCCTTTGAACTACTGCTTAGCTAATACTAGGTAGTGCTGTAAGACATGTTCCCATGACTTTCACAACATTTTACTTTTTATCATTGATGTGTTCAAACTGTTTACAAGGAGATGCTTGTAGATGATAGTTGTACATACATGCAAAAAAAAAAAATTCCACTTGCAATAGTAAGAAATTGAAGCATCCTTTAAAGGCCATGAAACCATATGTTCCTAAAGCTTATGTGGAGAATGCTTTATTTTATTATTATTTATATATGCTGTATTAATAATAACCAAAATCTTCTAAGATTCTGCCATTTTACAACTCTGAAGAAAGTATTTCACAAACTCACTCTGAGTTTCATCCTTCACCTGCTCTCCAATGAGATGACTTTCTGATAGACGAAGCTTAAGGTGTAATAAAGAAAGGGAAGAAAAGAAGGTAAGACTACTTAGACTGAAGATAAGATTGATTTCTTTTCATTTTCCAGATAAAATTGTATTTACTCATGAATTTATACAACTTTACAGAAAGGAACATTTTAATGGATAAACTCTGTAATTACCAAATTTCAAATATTTAGAAAAATGTATTCCACAGGTTAGTGCCAAAATGTCTGAATGGAGTAGGAATAATATTCCATTATAAGATTATTCATTATTGACTTTAATAGCATAAGAAAACATTATTCTTTACCAAAGCTCTTTTTTTATCCAATTGATGGTTATCTACATATATCACTTATAAACTAGTTATTTATGGAAAGCTAGTATGTCTTTTTCTCATACTTAGAATGAAAGTATCCACATTTTACAATGTAGTGTTGAGATAGTGCCTGTCAAGAAATCTAGCACAATGCCATTTATTTACCTTAAAAAACAAAAACAAAAATAAAAATACTGATTTTAAATCAGACTCTTAAAAGGCTGAAACATTAGAACTAATATTTTGTTATGATTTTACCTAGAATAAATATAATTTCTCCTTAACTTTCATAGGAACACTTTCCCCTTATAGATATTGCACTAAGTATCTCAATTTATTTCTAGTTTGAGTTGAAATGAATATTTATCAGATTATGTATCACATTGTTGGGTTTTCTTAATTTAAAAAAATTCATTTTAAAAAACAATTATTTTCAGAGACCAAGTTAAAGACAATAAAAATGACTATCACATAAAAATCCTAATTAAAAAAAAGAGTTCTTAAATTATGTTGGTCTTCCCTCAAAACTATTAAATTAGAAAATGAAATTAAAGCTCCAGTTTCTAGAGCTTGTTGGACCTCAGTAGACATTCTTCTTTCCAATCACAAATCTCCCTTTACTACTATTCTCATGGGAAGAAAACAAGATGGGACTTCCTGTCTTTCATAGTTTAAGAATCTGACAGGTCACTGATATGGAGCCCCTGAAGAGGCACATGATCTGAGCTCAGAAGATTTTGTTTTGTTTTGTTTTGTTTTATATGTATATCTAGTAAAGAGCACTTTTCTTCTTCCCTCTTTTCTTCCTTTCTCCTTTAATTATTCCCTCTCAGAATTCTTACGTTGTCCATTATTAGGGGCTCACTGCTTTTAACCTTTAAAAATGCCTTTTTTATTAAGCATTAAGATTTCTATTTAAGAGGATCAACTTCCTGCTGTACTTTTTACCATGAGACTCAATAGATATACACAGGCACCCACGCACATACACATGCATGCATACACACATATGTATGTATTGGAAGAGCAAAGAGAGGGAAGGGGGTCTTGTTAGAAAGTGGCAATTAGCTGAAAGATCAGAACATATCATTCCTTCCTGTCCCTGGCTGACATATTGTTCCAAGGGCAGTTGTTATGTTATTCTAACACTAGGGTAGCACTGACGGCATTGGTTGGCCCCATGGACTACAGAAGCAACGTTGCAAATACCAGGGCCAATGTGTATTTTAGAATTTACTCATTTAAATGAGTGCATATGACCATTCCTTGATGTGAGTATTCAAGAGATGAAGATAATTCCCTCTATCTTTTTTAACCTATAAGCTACATTTTCTAAAAATCAATGTGAGTTTTAAATTTTGATTCATATGTTAAAGATTAGATTCTGACAATGACTATATAGTGACTAGTTTCATCGTTTTAGTAGGAAAAAATTCAAACTTTCAAAAATGTTGGTCATTTCAGTCAGATTATTCAGAGATTTCATATGTATACATCCTAAGTTAGGATAATTATGTGAACATTTTTGAAAGCACAACCAATGTTTATATTTCTTGTTAAAATGGAATGTATTGTCTATCTCAAAGATTACTTTGCTAAATAATAGTAGACAAATAGGTATTTAATTTCACAAATACTTCATAACATCACTCCTAATTGGCAATATAGTCACAAAGCAAAAGAATTAAATTTCAACAAGCAATAAATTACATTTTGCATTTTAGACCTAACAATTATCACATTACGTTATTGGTTTTTATTTTGAGACAAGTTCAGGTACATAGCATAAACTAGGGTGTGTGTGTGTGTGTGTGTGTGTGTGTGTGTGTGTATGTATGTGTGTGTGTGCATGTGTGTGTGTATGTATGTGTGTGTGTGCATGTGTGTGTGTGTTTAACAATGAAGGACAGTCTTGAATTATTTCCCCCATTAACAATGTCTAATTGGAATCTAGTATTTTTTCTTAAACTGTAATTTCACTTTTCCCAGGACACATAAATAAGGTAAAAATTAGAATAATATGGCTGTAGAAGTTATTGTCCAAAACAAGTGCATTATATAAATATAATATAAATATAATGCAAGCACATGTCATTTAAATTTTTCTATTAGTCACATTTTAAGAAAAATAGATGAAACTGTAGCATTTTTAATCCAATTCATCCAAATTATTCTATCAATATATAGTTAATATTAAAATTTAATGAGATATTTTGAATTCTTTATTTTTATACTGTTTTCAAAATCAGGAGTGTATGTTATGCCTTTGGTACATCAAGTGCTCTATAGTCACATCAAGTACTCTAGACCAGTGCTGTCTAATATGGTAGCCACTAGCACTGGTCTAGAGTACTTTTTATTTTAAGCAAAGTGGCACTTGAAGTTCTATGCTTAGATTTAAGTGGCCTCAGTTTTTGCATTGAAGAGCTGTGGAAGGCCAAAAAGTGTTTTCAGAAATGTACACACTGAGTAAAAACTTATTGACCACTCCTGCCCATTCATGTGCTTCAGAGGAGAAGTGTTTCCTAACATAACTTCAAAGAACAAGACTTTCCTGGGCATTACTAAATTATTTACTGACTAGTCCCTCTGATTCCTGATGGGTCCTGGAGTCTTGACTACAGCCTAGAGCAGGCGTCCCCAAACTTTTTACACAGGGGTCCAGTTCACCGTCCCTCAGACCATTGGAGGGCCGCCACATACTGTGCTCCTCTCACTGACCACCAGTGAAAGAGGTACCCCTCCCTGAAGTGCAGCGAGGGGCCAGATAAATGGCCTCAGGGGGCCGCATGTGGCCCACGGGTCGTAGTTTGGGGACGCCTGGCCTAGAGTCTCCTAAGTACTGCCATGATGCCAGTAGTATTCTTGCTTACTAATATCTACTGTCAGCCAACCATGTGTCTTCATTCGGGAAGGACTGCACATAGAATCTGATTTTTGAGGCCTGGATGCTGCATGCCATCCTTGTATCACCGGCAATATGTCTTTCTGGAAATCTGAACCATACCAAATATGCATGATGAAGATTGTATAACAATGGTGATACCCTGCCAGTTATCTTCAAAATTGGAATATGACTATAGCTGGCATTTTTAAGATTTCCTTAGAAGAGTTTAATCAACACTGCCATTACACATAGATTTAACAAAAAACTTTTGAAAATCTTTTACATACTGATTTTAGAATAATCTTCAAGCTTCTATAGTCATTTTTAGTGGAAGACTTAAAAAGAAAGGAACAATTTTTACTGTGACCTCAATTTCATAGTATTTTAAACATATTTTGTAATTCAGAATGTTTAGCAATCCCTATGTCCTGTTTCACATGTATGGTAACTGATGCTGGGTTGCCTACAGGCTGAAAATTTGGAGAGAGCCATTTTGTTTTATAAATCAGTTTTTATTGCCCAAGAAGCAGCTGGTTATATTTCAAGTTGGAAAAAGAAAATGCCAGAAAAGGCAAAGGATAAAGTTAGTAAGCCATTTATTTTGTTTTAGAATTGTTCTTGCAAAGAAAATCTTTTTTTTTTTTTAAAGTTCAAAAAAGTGAATCAGTACTAGCATTTTCTTGAAAAAGGTTGACTCAATATGTAATGAACAGATATACATAGAAGAATAAATCATAATGCCATTATGTCACTTATTTGTCATTGCAAAGTGTTCAGTCTAGTTGTCTGGATTTACTTTACATGGTGCAAAATTTCCAGACATTAACCTGCGTAAAAGGATTTGCAATTTCCTTGTAATTACTGCCTGTTAGTCCATGTTCTAACTTCCTTATGTTCATCATTCATATGTTCCTGATCAGGGTCATTGCTAGTAGTTGAGCATTTACTGGTTGAACACTGCTTAATGGTTAGATGTTATGTGTGTCTGCATTAAAAAAAATTATGTACATGTTATTTCAGTATTGGTATTACATATATATTCATAACCATGTGATAAAAATGTACCTAATAATTTCTTGTAAAATTTTTCAAAGTCCTTTTATTCCCCTGACACAATCAGGGTGAATTTTTGGCTCCTTGGCAAATAAGAAAAAAAGGAGAGAGATCACTGGAGAGATATTAGCCAGCCACTTACAGTAATCAAGTTCAGTGTTTCCTCTTTCTATATTTTGACCAATATATTAAAAGAAAATTTTTGTTATTATTAATCCTTGTGGATATTACCTAAGATCAGATAATATAATCTCAGCTCATAAAGCTTAGCCATGTCTATACTTTTCTTGGAGAGCAGTAACAAACTTGGTTAATTTATGTTTGGTTATTTAAAATCCCAACTTTCATAAATGCTCTGTGATATATTCGAGACTATTGGATTGTGTGATATTAACTTCCTTCAAGAACTCAGTCTGTTCCCTGTCCTCTGGATCAGAGGTCCACTAGGGAAAAAGGAAGCCTTGCCAAGTAATCAGATA